TGTGACATATTGTTATACCAAGATTTATAATAAATTAAAATGGTTTTAACCAGTTAGCATTATCTTGACCTACTTACTGCCAGTCGTTATGTTTATTTTTACTGCAGGGAGATTGCTATTACTTTGGCATTCCATATAATTAAGAAATAATGACACATTAAATATAGGCTGTTAAGGTTTTATGTGAAAGCATCCTTTAATTCTTGGGTCACAATTCACATTTTGACTGTATTAGTGGTATATATATAGATTTTTTTAAAGTAATCTCTACACCCAACCTGGGGTTCAAACTCACAGCCCCCAAATCAAGAGTCACATACTCTTTTGGCTAAGCCAGCCAGGTGCTCCTATTATCTGTATTTTTTTTTTTTTTAAGATTTTATTTATTTATTTAGGCGGGAGAGAGAGAGAGAGAGCACGTGTACGCCCACAAAGAGGGGAGGGTAGGGGCAGAAGGAGAGGGAGAAGCAGGCTCCCCACTGAGCAGAGAGCCCCACGCAGGGCTACATCCCAGGACCCTGAGATCATGACCTGAGCTGAAGTTAGACGCTTAACCGACTGAGCCACCCAGGCGTCCCTTAATTACAAACTGTGTAGAACTTAAAGTTGTTTTGATAAATATAAAACTTCCAAAAGCAGTATTATTAGAAAAATAACCAAAGTTTATAAAAATGCAATTAAAATAATATATTCTCAGGGGTGCCTGGGTGGCTCAGTCGTTAAGCGTCTGCCTTCAGCTCAGGTCATGATCCCAGGGTCCTGGTATCAAACCCCACATCGGGCTCCCTGCTCAGCGGGAAGGCTGCTTCTCCCTTTCCCACTCCCCCTGCTTGTGTTCCCTCTCTCACTGTGTCTCTCTTTGTCAAATAAATAAAATCTTAAAAAAAATAATACATTCTCAGCTTCCTTATATAATTAATTATAAGGAGTAATTTATGGAAATGTACAAGGCATTTAATACAAAATTTTCCTATTTGGAATGAATGTTTTTCAAAGTTGGGATTCCAAAATTGATCTTTGACCAAGGGTGAGGTGGTGGTTGGTTTGATCGCTACCTTCATGGGGCCTGGCATTTGCTAATCATCAAGATTTAAAATGGCAATTTTTTTCCCCCTTTGAGGCCCTCATCACAGCCCAAGCCTCTAATTTATTCTTTTGCTGGTAGCTTGTTTCTATCAGTCCAAATTGAATTTTTCTTTTTGGGTTTAAACCAATAATAAAAAGGATTAATGGCTTAAAATAGTTTAATTTACTTAACGGTTAACTGCATATGCGGATAGTCTCCCTGACACTTTCTGGCTAATAAACACACATACCATAGACATTCAAAAAGTCAAAGAAAAGGTCTTCATGGTACAGCTTTTACCAACAAAAACCTCATGATTTCAATTAAATTTGTATTTAAGTCATTTTTACGGAGGATATTTTTTCAAACAGACAGTCATTCTTGAGACCCTGGGATCTCTGAATATCATTTGTTTTTACCACTCCAACACTGACGTGGAGGAAATAAATTCTTTTATATAAAGCAGAGACTAGGTAATTCAATTGCTAAATGTGAACTGTTTACAGTGAGAGCTATTTAAAATTCAGCATCTACTAAACGCTTCCAACTAGCCTGGGGTCCCTTCAGGAACTGTCCTATTCAGCTCTGGCCATTTGGCTGAGTTCAGAGAGCTTTCCAAATGCAGACACAGCCACTGTCAGCAGGATAGGCTTTTCCTGGGCAGGAACAGTTGATCTATTTACTGGTGGTGGAGGGGGGCAGGACAGCTCCTCTGGGTGAGGGATACTGTTGGTTAACACTCTGCCTTATCCCCAAACCATGATTTCCAGGGCAGACGAGAGACTTGGCGTCTGCTTTTCCTGTAGGAAGCCTCATCTTCCTTGAATGCCTCGTCTGTGGCCCATTCCTAGTCTGTTCTCCACGACGATTTGGAACAGTCTAGCGAAGAGTCCAGAGCAACCCAAATCTAGGGAGTGACGGAGGTGGATATCAACAATGCTGCTCAAATTTTAACGTGTTTGTGAATCACATGGGGGTTTTGTGAAAGTGCAGATGCTGACTCAGTGGGTCTGGGGTGGAGCCAGGGGTTCTGCATCTCTAGTGAGCTCCCAGGTGATGCCAACGCTGATGGTCCAGGGACCATACTTTGAGTGGTGAGGGACTGTAAGGGGTGAATCAGGTATGTACACAGTTGAGATCCCCCAATGTCCCATTTTTTTGCATCCTTCTTCTTTTCCTTTGTTCTCTGGGGACGATGAAGCCAAGCTCGATCCTTGAGCTGTTATCCTCATAAACAGAGCCTGCCATGTGCCTGTTTAACTTCTCTTACTCCTCTGCCGTCCTGTGCTCGTTCCTGGGCCTGAATGGTAACAGTGCTCCTCAGCCCAAGGGTCAAGAAGGGACCTCACCAACTTCTCAGTTCATTTTCACCCACTGTGGTCCCCATTCTTTATAACCCAGAGCTGTACAGGGGTGCCTGGGTGGCTCAGATGGTTGAGTGTCTGCCTTCGGCTTGGGTCATGATCCCGGGGTCCTGGGATGGAGCCCCACGTTGGGCTCCTGGCTCGGCGGGGAGCCTGCTTCTCCCTCTCCCTCTGCCTCTCTCCCTGCTCATGCTCTCTATCTCTGGGTCTCAAATGAATAAATAAATCTTAAAAAAAAAATGCAGAGCTGTACATACAATTGGCCCCCACCCTTCCCCATGATGTCTTCCGAGACCATGACATCTGGAAGCACCTTAGGGCAAACCTGGAAAGTTCCTATTCTGGCTCGATGCAGTTATGGTGTCTGGGAAGGTGGGGTTACAAAGCTCTTAAGGAACTTGGAAGAACTAGAGATGTTTGTGACCTTCAGGTAGAGGAGATGACCTCTTCATACCTAGCTGGAGTGGAGAGGCTGTGTCCTTAGAACCGTAATTCAGCAAACTCCAAGAACGCTATCTGAAGGGTTTCAGGGTTTATCATTTTGTAAAGCTTTTTCATTTTCTCATTCCTAACTTCTTAGCCCTGTGTTATCCTGGAAGGACTAAAGCCTTCCTCAGTGGGATTCATTCATTCCTTCCTCCAGTGACACAATGACCCAGTTTTAGGCCTTGTGACCGTGCAGGAACTCCCTTCCCAAATGCCACTGTCCTGCAGGAAAGTGGAAGATTCGGCTTCAGCCCCGCTCATCACTTATTGTCTTTCTTCTATTTCTCGTCCACTGTGATGCTTATCTTGTTTCTGAGGCCGGTTTTTGCTTTTCAGATTCTCTCTTTTAAAATCTATTGTTGCTGTATGCACTGGGAAAAAGTTCCTGTCACCTGACTGTAAATCTGAAGTTCTGAAAGTGGGTTTTCTATACCACTGTTTTAAAGCAGATGAATAAATGGTCAGGGCACTTTAAACATCTGTCGTTGGATTAAGGAAGACTTGGGAGTGGTGTACCTGATTGCTATTGCATTATGCCTTCTACTTATAGCAAAGGCCAGAGCAGGAAGCAGCACAGGGAAAATCTTTGCTATATTTCAGAATTGCTGGGGACGCTGTTTTTTTTTGCAAATTGCTTTTTATTATTTTTTTTTTAAAGATTTATTTATTAGAATGCGCACATGAGCTGGTGGGGGAGGGGAAGGGAGAGAGGGCAGGGGAGAGGAGAGCCGATCTCAAGCCAACTTCCTGCTGCATGCGGACCCTGACAGGGGCTTAATCCCATGACCCTGATCATGACCTGAGCCGAAATGAGGGGTCCACGCTTAACTGACTGAGCTACCGAGGCGCCCTGCAAACTGCCTTTTAACAAATGAGGGGGTGCCTGGGTGGCTCAGTCGTTAAGCGTCTGCCTTCGGCTTAGGTCATGATCGCAGGGTCCTGGGATCCTGCATTGGGCTTCCTGCTCTGCGGGAAGCCTGCTTCTCCCTCTCCCACTCCCCCTGCTTGTGTTCCCCCTCTCACTGTCTCTCTCTGTCAAATAAATAAAATCTTTAAAAAAACCCAAAAAACCCAAATGAGGTTCCATGGGTGAGAGCTCTGTCACCATCAGGAATAATTATGCTTCTCTTAGGAACGAGAACATTGAATCATAATTGATGAGGTTCCCTTTTTCTTCTGGTCTTAGGATGCTCACAAATTGGTGACCCACATGCGCAAGAACACCAGGCAGCCTTTTTAGTGCTGGTCTGTCTTCAACTTGTTTTCAGTCCTTATTTTAAAATATTTAGAGTACCCCCCCAAAATATATATATATAATATACAGTTGCATTGTATATATAATATATATAGTGCATTGTGAATTTATGTAATTTATTGTAAAATCATTTTTTTAAGGATTTTATTTATTTATTTGGACAGAGAGAGACAGCAAGAGAGGGAATACAAGCAAGAAGAGTTGGAGAGTAGAAGCAGGCTTCCCGCTGAGCAGGGAGTCGATGTGGGGCTCGATCCCAGGACCCTGGGACCATGACCTCAGCGGAAGGCAGACGCTTAACGACTGAGCCACCCAGGTGCCCCTGTAAAATCATTTTTGCAATAAGGTCTAGAATAATCTAATAAACCCAGTCTCACTTTATTTTCCCAGCTGGACTGGGTAGAGGCTGTATGTTAGTTGAGTAACTAACCAGTATGGTACTAGTTAATGTACACATACCCGCAGCCCCTTCTTCAATCTGGCTCCCAGCTCTCCAAGAAAGGGAGGACAGACTTTGGCTTAAACCAGCCAAATGGGCCTAATCCCTGGTCTCCAACCTTATCAACCTCCTCTTCCTAACGCCTCTTTTCTCCCTCCTTCACACCTTCCCCCACTAGTGTGGGGGCGGGGGGGGCACCCAAGCTCAGGCCTCCCTCCATCCTCACCCCTCCCTCCATCCTCACCGCCTTCCCCAGCCCGCGCGGCCTCACCCCTATGGCACGGCCTCTTCCGGCCCGCGGGAGGGCGGGCGTGGGGCGGGGCCGGGCGGGAGGGGAGAGCCGGTGGTGCGAGCGTCCGGGGCTCGCGCCCCGCCGCCGGCCGGCCGGCCATGCTCATCACGCTGTGCTACCTCTACCTGTGGGCGCGCTGGGGGCGCCGACCGGCCGCGCTCGTGCGCGCCACGGTGCAGCGGCTGCGCGCCTCGCGCTGCTCCTTCACCTTCTGCGGCGCGGCCGCGCGGCCCCAGGGCGCCCGCGTGTGCTTGAGCCGCGGCGGCCGCGTCTTCTGCGTCGGCGAGAGCCAGGTGGGCGGGCGCGGGGCCGGCGGGGTGCGGGGCGGGGCCGGGGGCGCGCGCGGGGGGGCGGGGCCGACGGGAGGCGCGGCCTCGGGGCGCAGTCTGCCGGAAACGCCGGCGGGCCCCGCGCTGCGCGAGCCGGGAGGTCTCGGGCTTGGGGTCCCTGCGGGGGCCCGGCTTCGGGTTACCTCTGCGTGCGATATCCTCGGGAGCCCGGACGGGGGGGGACCAGAGGCCCGGAGCTGCGCCAGGCAACACTGTCCCCGGCGTGCCGGGTCGACTGTATGCGGATGCATGGCTCCTGCCTTTCCAAATCTGGCGATTAGCACTGCCCACCTGGAGTGTCTTTTCTGACATCCTCTCCTCCATTGTGGCTGCATTTGGGTTGAACCTGAATTCACAGAAAGACAGCAGATCGTCAGCCTCTGTCAGATATCTCCGAGGGGACAAAACGGCCCTGTCAGTGGCGAATTTTACCAACCAGGGCGCCCCACTTTGCATCTCTTTGACTTCGGTTTGCACACAGACTTTGTTTTTGACCCAATACTTAGCCTGATAGCTGCAAGTTCAGCAGGCTCTTTCACCTGCGAGTCGTTTAGCAAAACCAATGTCCCCTTTCTGTAAAAGGGGACAGCAGTTCCATCCATTCAGCTGTTGGAGGTGGACTTGACTTGACGGTGCAGTTCTGCCCAGATTTCCACTGACATCACTAACACTGTTTTCATTAGCATTTAAATGTTTACTTTTAATCGGTTTGTTTCCCTTTCCTCTTCCCTCCGGAAAGTTGGCTCACTTTTACCATTAAAGTAAGATTTTCTACGTGTGCGAAACTATAACACCCGCGTGGGAATTAAAATCTTATCTCAGGTTTGAGTACTTTGTTGTATGCTTAAGTATGGAATTATATCGTGCTACTAGCAAATCAAAAATACCCTTCCTTGTTAGTATACTATAACACACAGAAAATGAGTAACTGTTCTCTCAGTTCTGAGAGAGTGCTTAGCTAGGATCACTTAGATGCAAGACAGCGAGACACTCATTCCACTTGAGGGCCCAATGAACTGAATAGGGCTTCATTCTCTCAAGGAACCAAGATTGAGAGAAATAACAAAATAAAGAAAAATTGAGGGGTGCTTTTTTCTATTGCAGTGGTTGACAATCTGGATTCATTTACTTAAAATAAACTTTAAGATTTGAATTAGAGGGGTGCCTGGGTGGCTCAGTCCATTAAGGGTCTGCCTTCTGCTCAGGTCAGGATCCTGGGGTCCTGGGATCTAGCCCCCCCATCAGGCTCCTTGCTCAGTGGGGAGCCTGCTTCTCTCCCTCTCCCTCTGCTGCTCCCCCTGCTTGTGCTTTCTCTCTGTCAAATAAATAAAGAAAATCTTAAAAAAAAAAAGATTTCAATTAGAGTAAACATTTTGGACATTCAAAAATGTTGGGATGTAAATATTTTTAATTTTCTTGGAAGACAGTTTTACTTTTTGAACATCTCCATGACTTTACTGATCTGCTAACTACCATAACTATAACCAGGGCTTTTCAGCTTTTTTCCTACCGCTCCAGCCTACTCTGGGGGTACCACTGCCAAGCTAGCTTTGGGTTTTCAGGGATTCTGGAACCTGATGCTATGCTCCTGCTCTTTGAAGTTAACTTTGCCTCACCGTAGAGTTGCTCAGATACTATTGTCTCAAGGAGATGTTCCTCATTCTTCACACTAGATGGGATGGGCCTGCGCTGTGCCCTCATACACTTTAAATCACCCTTCATATATCTAGTTTTTATCTTTTTCTCCCTAGGAATTGGGTCTTTTTAGCTTAGCTTAGCAGCTTGCCCTGTGATAGTCACTCAGTATTTCAGTGAATGAAGGAGTGGTTAGTGGTTGTTGGGTTTCAGCTCTGTTGGGTAAAGCCTGTGATTGGAAAACTTGACTGTGATTAGCTCCTGTTGATTTCAGCTATGAAATATGGTGGGCCTAATGATTTGGTTTGCTAGCTACCTTGTCAGTCTACCTGGACTAAAGTAACTTTACAGAAATGAATTTTACGTCTTTGTTGTCTCCTTACTTCATATATTTAGAATCAGATGCATAGAATGTGTAGTGTATATAATTGAAGTTCCCACAGAAATGGTAACTATAACCAAAGAGTTTATACACACTGGAAATTTTAAGCTTTTTGTTTAATATACACATGTTCTGTGTTTGAGTAAGGTGGACAATCTTTTTTGTTGTTAACTGCTATATTTATTTTTTATTTTTTTAAGATTTTATTTGAGAGAGAGAGAATGAGAGACAGAGAGCATGAGAGGGGAGAGGGTCAGAGGGAGAAGCACACTCCCTGCTGAGCAGGGAGCCCGATGCGGGACTCCATCCCGGGACTCCAGGATCATGACCTGAGCCGAAGGCAGTCGCTTAACCGGCTGAGCCACCCAGGCACCCTGTTAACTGCTATACTGATAATTATGATAACCCATGGAGAGGTGTTTTCTCTCCCCCAAATTTTCGTTCATTAATTAGTTCAGTCGATATTTATTAATAGTCTACTATGTGCCAGGTTACTAGGCCAGGTGGAAACGCCTTCTGATCCTCCCAGATCAAAAGGGCAGATGTGAATTGGTAAACAGGGTGTGGAGCCTGACCTTTTTTTGGTGGTGATAAAAGGGCTCACCCCTGCAGCCTTAGATGTCCGCTTTTCTGCTCTGGATATACATTGTTTTTAGTGGTTTAAAGCCTTTAAAATTCACTTACTGTCCTTTTAGAGAGGTTTCAGGAGGGAGAGCACAGATAAACGGACAAATCCAATCTGATAACCAATGCTGATGCTATCTATAATGGCTAGAGGAAATGGAAGAAGAGTTCTTCAGGTTTCTATTAGTAATGGGTTTCTTTTGACCAGCATGCACTCCTGAGCCTCCTCACCTTTAAATGTGCTTCTGAGTTGTGAGTTGGGAAGCTCCTCATGCTGCAAGCAGTAAGGAATGGTGGGGGTAAGCCCAGCTTCAGAATTAATGGTAGGTCACACATATCTAGAGATGTTAAAATTGTCATGGATCATAGAAGGGATCTTGCAGGTGTTTAAATAGTCACAGTTTAACCAGAGGCTCAGGGTTAATGTGGTCTGTAGGAGGAGAGCATCCGATTAACTTATTTAGATTCCACCTGGAATTACAGAGGAGGGGAGGTCCCAGATGTTAATATAAGTGACAGTTGTGATTTGAAGTGATATTGAATCCCCTTTTTGTGTGTTTCTTTCCCTCTGCCCAGTCCATTGATGACTTGAACAAATGGGCCCTGTTTCTTGTCTCTCCTTTTATACTTGAAGCAGAACACATAGCATTTGTGACAGAGAGCATTTGGGTGCAAGGTGAGAGTTTACGGAGACCGGCTTCCTCTTCAGAAACCGTGAGTAAAATGTTTTTCACTTGTGTCCCAAAAGGAAATGATGTCTTAACCAAAAGTAAATTTGTTTTTTCCCCTGTTCTTTCCTGGCCTTTGTGACCCCGTTTCTTTTGTGGACATTTTGGGTTAAAAATGTATTATTAAAATCATTTTCACCTGTTTCTTTTTACTTTTTTTAATGTGGCTGCTAGAAAAAGTGCCTGGGTGGCTTGTGTTTGTGGCTCACATCATGTTTTCACTGGGCAGCGCTGCTGGAGGGGCATCTAACCCATCCCTCCACTTCTTCAAATCGGCCCGAGTGGTTAACTCAGATCGCCAGGCACTTCCTAGACATCTCCCCTGGAGTATTCTGAAAACACTTCAAACTTAATGACTTGTCTAAAAGTAGTTGCTTCTATTTCTCTGCTGGAAAAGAAAGAGAGTCTCAGAGGAACACCCCAGCCTGTTCTTCCTCTCACCTCCTGCGTCTTTCCCGCCACGCAGGTCCAAATTCTACTGATGCCCCTTCCCTGACCGTCTCCACTCGCCTCCTTCATTACCACTCCTTGTTTCATGCTCAGCCTCAGATCTTCTGGTCTAAACCATGGAAATGTCATCCTGTCTTGTGTCTGTGGGTTTTCTTCTTGATGGCCAGAGTTCTCTTTCTAGACACAAATCCAGGGAAACACACTGTGGCTCAAGCTTCAGGGGGCGCCTTCTCACCAGACATGGTCATGCCCTGAGGCCCGTGGAAGTCTGACCTAAGCCCCTCTTGTGGATGTCTTCCCCTTGGGTATCTGTGATGAGTCCTTGCCTTGCTGCCTTCACTGAGCCACCCTGTGATCCCTGCCTGCCACTTGGTAATCCAGGAGGGGTTTTGCTGATGATAGCCACTGTCACTGGATTTCCATTTTACAAACACCATCTTTTTTTTTTTATTAAAGAGTTTTATTTATTTATTGAGAGAGAGAGAGAATGGTAGAGAGAGAGCATGAGAGGGAAGAAGGTCAGAGGGAGAAGCAGACTCCCTGCTGAGCAGGGAGCCCGATGCGGGACTCGATCCTGGGACTCCAGGATCATGACCTGAGCCGAAGGCAGTCGCCAACCAACTGAGCCCCCCAGGCGCCCTACAAACACCATCTTTAAGCCATTGTATTGGGATGAGAGAAAAGGAAGAGAGGAGGAAGACTAGACAAAAATTGACTAGAATTCAAGGTAGACTGAAATAAGGGCCATGAGATCGGTAAAGATATTTAAAGGAGAGCAAGAAACTGTGTTTGGGGGGGCGCCTGGGTGGCTCAGTCGTTGAGCGTCTGCCTTCGGCTCAGGTCATGATCCCAGGGTCCTGGGATCGAGCCCCACATCGGGCTCTCTGCTTCTGCCTCTCCCACTCCCCCTGCTTGTGTTCCTGCTCTCAATCTCTCTCTCTCTCTGTCAAATAAATAAATAAAATCTTAAAAAAAAAAAAAAGAAACTGTGTTTGGGACTCAGAAGGGGCTTAAGGTTTGGCAGGTGGTCTGAGAGCTGCCAGTGTGCCGTGACGTTCCATTCCCTCCTGATGTTTTATCGACTTAGGATGATGGTAATAATACCATTTATCCAGCCCCTGCTAGGCATTTTACATACATTGCTGCAATGCTTACAATTCTGTACGATATTATTCTTGTCATTTTATTTTATTTTATTTATTTATTTATTTTTTTAATAAGATAGTTTTTTTTTTTTAAAGATTTTATTTATTTATTTGAGAGAGAGAGAGAGAGAAGGAGAGAGAGAGAGCACGTGAGAGGGGGGAGGGTCAGAGGGCGAAGCAGACTCCCTGCTGAGCAGGGAGCCCGATGCGGGACTCGATCCAGGGACTCCAGGATCATGACCTGAGCCGAAGGCAGTCGCCCAACCAACTGAGCCACCCAGGCGCCCTATTCTTGTCATTTTAAAGAGAAGAAAACTGAAGCCCTAAGATAAATTCTTTCTTCCTTCCTTCCTTCCTTTCTTTCTTTCTTTCTTTTCTTTCTTTCTTTCTCTCTCTCCTTTCTTTCTCTTTTTTCTCTCTCTCTCTCTTTCTCTCTTTCTCTCTCTCTCTTTCTCTTTCTCTCTCTCTTTCTCTTTCTCTTTCTCTCTCTCTCTTTCTTTCTTTCTTTTCTGAGGGATAAGGAGAAGCAGGTTCCCCACTGAGCAGAGGGAGCCCAGATGCGGGACTTGATCCTAGGATCCGGGGATCATGACCTGAGCCGAAGGCAGATGCTTAACGACTGAGCCACCCAGGTGCCCCTTAAAGGGCATTTCTAAAGCCACCATCTGCTAAGTGGCAGATAAAGTTTTAGCCAGTGTCCGTACCCTTTTTAGGAGCCAGAGGAATGCATTAGTAGTTTTAAAGAGATCTAGACATAGCTGTTTTCTAGTCGTAACAGCAAAGCTTATATTAACCTGAGGCCAATCCAGCAATGCTTGTAGCTCTTCTCCTGTGTTTGGTAGAAAGATGCCAACTGGTGATGTGAAGGTTTTTGGTGAACTCAAGCGTAATTTTTATACGCAGAAGAAAAGACTATTCAGAAACTTCCTTTTTGTTTAAAACAATGATTTTCAATGTATTAAAATTACAAATTATCAATTAGGTTGAATTGTGAAATGGCCAATATTGGCTTTTTTTTTTTTTTTTCTTAACCTATGAAGAGTCCATTCATGGTAACCTAACTGTTCTGATTTGGGCTTTTAAGTCCTAATTTGCCATTCTTAGAAATTTAGCAAAAGTTTGTGATCACGTTTGGTGGAATTTCTGGATAATATTTGTCCTGTTTAGAAGCTCAAATATCTTAAAACATTGTAGTTTATTTTGGGACTCTAGCTGCACAGACTTGGATTAATCCTAATCCTTGATCAAAACGTATTCTCATCATTGGTTCATGTATGGCCCTCATTCGCTGATGAATTTGAAATTATATAATAAATACACATGAATTCACCACTGAGTATGGAAATGGAACGTGTGTACCTGTGTGATCCCCCAGAGTCTGTCCACCTATTCTGCCCCCCCCGCCCCTATCTTCTCCCTCCCCAAACCAATTTCTTTTTAAGTACATAAGTCATCTGGGTGAACAAACATCATCTTTTTTTTTTTAAATAAAACTTTTTTTTAAATGTTTTATTGATTTATTAATGAGAGCCAGAGAGAGAGAGAGAGGCAGAGGCAGAGGCAGAGGGAAAAGCAGGCTCCCCGCCTAGCAGTGAGCCCGATGCGGGACTCGATCCCAAGAGCCCGATGCGGGACTCGATCCCAGGACCCCGGGATCATGACCTGAGCCGAAGGCAGACACTTAACCATCTGAGCCACCCAGGTGCCCCCTAAATAAAACTTTTATTTCAGAAAAGTTGCAAAGATAATGTAGAGTTCCCATATATCCCAGTTTCCCCCATTAACACATCTTATGGTATCTTTGTTATAACGAACCAATATTAATATGTTATTAAATAAAGTTCACCCTTGATCTCATTTCCTTAGTTTTTACCTAATGTCTTTTTCAAAATGTTCCAAGATCCCATCCAGGATACAGCATCCCGTTTAGCTGTCATTTCTTCTCAGGCTCCTCTTGGATGTGACAGCTTTCTCAGACTTCCCTTGTTTTTGATGACGCTGAGACAAACACCATCTTTCTGAACACTTACATAATTCTTATCAATTATTAAACTTAGAGTAAGCTTGATGCTTTCTTAGATATGCTAATATTACTTGTATATTTAGTAAGATTTCAACTTAAAACCAAGGCCAAAATTTCTTAAAATATTGCCATTACCTAAAATAGGCACAGGTTCCTCCTTAACACAAAATGTGACTGCTGTGTTCTTGATTTCCTAAATTGTTGTTCCTTAATTGGACATCTTTATGGGGTTCAAAGACATAGAGCATCTGAAGGAACATAGTTACTGTGGTAGAGGCTAAATTACTGTAACAGAGACCCAGAACTGCTTGGGAGCAAAAAGCTAGAAGCTTCTTTCTCCCTCGGGGAGGTGGTTCTGCTCTGTAAGGCCATCCAGGGACCCAGTTCCCTTCTGTCGTGTTGCTCTGTTCTCTCCCCTCTGCCAGCCTCATTCACTCTCTAGGTAGAGGCTGGTTTGTACTACCCTGACACTGTTGTCAACCTTATGCACATTCTAGCCCTCCAGGTTGGGGGTAGGGGTGGGCAGCCACCTTCCTCTTTAAAAACTCTGATCCAGAAGTTTCACAGGCCACTCATGCACCTGTTCTGTTAGCTGCAGGGCAGGCTGGGAACTGTAGTCTTAGCTGGACAGTCATGGGTTGAAGGGAAGAACGAAAGACTAGATATTGGGAGATAATTAGCATTTTTCACAGTTATCATTTCATTTAACATATGTTCTAATGAAGATTTAATTAAGATCTTGCTTAATGGCAACAACTTATTTCTTAATTTTCTGAGATAGAAAGATGCCTGCCCACCCAGCAAGACAGCTACTGTCCAGATAATTCATTTTATTTATGATCAGAGGGTTTGGTGGATCTTGCAGTCAGGAGCCGGAGACATTCAGAGCTATTTTTTTGACCACTCTGGCTATTACACCATACTTCATTTTATAAGTTGGGCTTTAAAACTTATAAAGGAATCGGTCTCAGGCACCTGTCTGGGCTCAGTTGGTAGAGCATGTAACTCTTGATCTCAGGGTTGTGAGTTCAAGCCCTGCATTGGGCATGGAGCCCACTTTAAAAAAGAAATTGAGGGGCGGAGCAAGATGGCAGAGGAGTAGGAGACCTGGATTTCCTCTGGTCTCAGGAATTCAGCTGGATAGGGATCAAACCATTCTGAACACCTACGAACTCAACAGGAGATCGAAGAGGAGAGTAGCAACAACTCTCTGAACACAAAAGCGACCACTTTCTGGAAGGTAGGACGTGTGGAGAAGTGAATCCGAGGCGATATTTGGGAGGATAGACGGCGGGGGAGGGGGCCTCCGTCGGCCGCTTCTGGCAAGTGATAGAGCCGCGGAGCACAAAATCGGAACTTTTAGAAGTC